TTGAGAGTCCATAACCGCTGGATCTGCCTACCCAAGAATTCAATCAGTTTTTTTTATCTTGCCAATACAAGTAAAATGTTTCTTGAATTATTAAAATCACACTGCGTTCTCTTAAAAACTGAGTTACCGTTTTTGGCACTTTTTCCCTGTATCTTCGGAATAGCTAGACCTGCCTACGCCAAAAACTAATCACCACGTCTCCTTATCAATACGAATCGAATGTTTTTTGAATTATCCAAATCGGTTGATCGGTGTTCCCGAAATCGTTGACTAAAATTTGTATCCGCACCCGCATGCACACAGACACACACACATTTTATCTAAGGTATGCCAAAATTTTCAGAAACTTTTGAATCATAGAGATATATAAAATTTTTCATTTTCGATTTTTTGCGATTACTATAACTTACCCCACGGAAAGTTAATTAGAAAATCGGATTTTCTGGCGAAAACAAATGTCTTCTTCGATAATTTATAAACAAATTAAACATAAACAAACAACACTAACCAGTGGGGCGCATAGCATCGTGCCTTAAGACAAATTGCTGGAACTTTCCGCACCAAAATTTTTTTTTTTTTAAATAAGATTAACATTTTTGAAAAAAAAATACTCTGAAAAAATTAGATTTTTTAGAAACTATAAACTTTCGACAAAAATTTACTTTTTTTGAAAAAAAAAAACGACTTTTTGAAGAAAATTTTATTTTGAAATATTTTGGAAATTTTGAATTTTTTTTCAAAGCAATCGTACTGCTTTAACTGCATAGAGACCAAATGTCAAAGCTCGAAAATTTGTATCCGCACACACACACAAATACATCTATTTTTTCTAAGGTATGCCAAAATACTCAGAAACCTTTGAAATGTAAAGATATATGAAAATTTCCATTTTCGATTTTTTTGCGATTACTATAACTTGCCCTACGGGAAGTTAAAAATAAACTTTTCTGAACTTTTCAAGTAGAAAATTTTTAAATGCTTCCGTCCACGTTTTCGTAGAAAATCCTGAACCGAGTTTGAAAATTTAGGAACCGTCCGAAAGTTATTTAGTTGGAAATCGCGGTGATCAATCTAAGGTAAAGATTAATTAAGAATTGCGGACAGTTTCTTCGTATTTATTTGTTAAAATGGTTAATAAGGTTTGTTAGTCATGGTCATGGTATTAAAAAACATCGTTAAATATTGTAGGCCTAAGAAAATTGAATTGATTATAAAAAAAATCATTTAAGTTTGAAATAATAAGTCGAATCGAAACTTCAAAACTTTATCTTAAATACAACAATCTTAAAAGTTGCTGGAACTGAATTCCTATTTAACTTCCCGTAGGGCAAGTTATAGTAATCGCAAAAAAATCGAAAATGAAAATTTTTATATATCTTTACGTTTCAAAACCTTCTGAACATTTTGGCATACCTTAGAAAAAAATTGATGTATGTGTGTGCGTGTGTGTATGTGTGCGGATACAAATTTTCGTCGACGATTTCGGGAAAACGGATGAAGCGATTTGAATAATTCAAAAAACATTCGATTCGTATTGATAAGGAAACGTGCTGATTAGTTTTTGGCGAAGACAGGTCTAGCCGTTCCGTAGATATGGGGCAAAAAATGCCAAAAACGGTAACTCAGTCTTTAAGGAAACGGAGCGTCCGATTTGAATAATTCAAAAAACATTTTTCTTGTATTAACAAGATGAACATCTGATCAAATTTTCATGAAGACAGGTTTCGGAGATCTAAGAAGTAAAAAAAAGTAAAAAAACGCCATTTGGCGATCAAAAATGATCATTAGACATATGCACATCAAATTATCAGATATTTTATAGAGATTTTAACAACAAGTATAAAGTTTGTTTACATTCATATCGATCGTAGCTTCGATATTTCGTCTCTATGCAGTTAAAGCAGTACGATTGCTTTAAAAAAAAGTTCAGAACCTCCAAAATATTTCATAATAAATTTTTCTTCAAAAAGTCTTTTTTTCAAAAAAAAAAGTAAATTTTTGTCAAAAATTTATAGTTTCTCAAAAATCTATTTTTTTCAGAGTTTTCAAAACTGTTAATCTTTAAAAAAAAAAATTTGGTACGGGAAGTTCCAGCAATTTGTCTCAAGGCACGATGCCATGCGGCCCACTAGTTAGTCGATTATTTACACAAATAAAAAGTTCACGCAATTATCCGGAAAGCAAAATTTCACTTACAACTTATTTGTAATAATATTTCCAGTATTTTCTTCTTTACTGACACCAGACAATGTGCCTGCTTGAGATCAATGTGTTTGAATATATATTTTAATAAGTAAAGAAAATAAATAAAATGTGAATGCAGTAATTGCAGTCAGTGCAATTTTGAATAATATTCTTGGATTTGTACGAGATTATCGAAGCATGTGTTCCATGTCCAGAACACTGTATTGTTTATTTCTCGAGCGCGTTTATTGAATGAATGAATCATTTCGGTCTCTATTTCTGGAATGTTGCAACGAAACCTAAAGTACTTAATACGCTGCCCAGGGCGACAGAGCTGATGGGAATACAATAGCCTACAGCGACGTTGGATTAACTACGCTTTTCAGGAAATATTCAAGATTTTGACATCACCGGAACGTTTTAAGAAACAATAGAATAAAGGCAGTAAGATATTAATTTTTATAACCTTCAGATTTTGGTTTATTTCACTAAAATCAAAGTAAAATTTTAGGTCTTTTTTAAATCATCGTAAAAGAAGGCAATCTTTTCTTATTCTTCTATTTTTTAACTTCCCGTAGGGTAAGTTATTGTAATGGGCCGAAAATCGAAATTGAAAATTTTTACATTTCTCGACGTTTTGAAGGTTTCTGAACATTTTGGCATACCTCAGAAAAAATGGATGTGTGTGTGTGTATGTATGTATGGATACAAATTTCCAGTCACGTTTTCGGGCGCACGGATCGACCAATTTGAATGGTTCAAAAAACATTCGATTCCTATTGATAGGGAAAAGAGCTGATTAGTTTTTGGCAAAGGCAGGTCCAGCCGTTTCGGAGATACGGAGCAAAGAGTGCAGAAAATAGAAATCGAATTTTTGAGAGAACGGAGTATCCGATTTGAATGATCTAAAAAACATTCAATTAGTAATGATTGGGAGAAGTGTTTATTAGTTTTTGGCAAAGGCGGACCCAGCCATTTCGAAGATACGGAGCTAAATGTGTAAAAAATGGCAGTTTTTGAGAGAACTAAGCGTCCGATTTAAATGATTCAAAGAACTTTCTGCTCGTCTTAACAAAATAATTAATTTTGGAAAAAAAATTTGTTTCAACTTTTTTTTTTTTAATTTTTTGTATATCGAAAATAATTCAGATTTTATTTTTAATTCTGACTATAGTTCTAATATACTTTACAAATAATTTCAACTTTGCAATTCAGTTTATATAATTCTTATAAATTTGAAAACATTCAGTATTCCTCGAACATTTCGTTACGGTACGGAAAGTTCCAGCAATTTGCCTTAAGGCACGATGCCACCCACCCCACTAGTTTTTATAATTTATTTATCAATGTTTCAAGAGTGCAGAAAAAAAAGTTAACAATTTTCAAAGTTAGCAGCTGTTGAAGTGGGGCGTCTCAAAAAACTGCCACGTGACCATGCCCAAGATTGCAGCCCTCCTAGTAATGAAACTAGTGGTGTATGACATCGTGCCTTGAGGCAAATTGCTGGAACTTCCCGTACCGCAATTACAAATCTTGGTAAGGAATCCAAACAAATTTACACAAAATGTGTACACATTATTAAAATCTCTATAAAATATCTTATGTATCTTTTTTAACTTATTTTTATTGAGAGTCCATAACCGCTGGACCTGCCTTCCCAAAAATTTAATCAGATCTTCATCATGTCAATACAAGTAAAATGTTTTTTGAATTATTAAAATCGGATGCTGCGTTCTCTTAAAAACTCAGTTACCGTTTTTGGCACTTTTTGCCCCGTATCTTCGGAACGGCTAGACCTGCCTTCGCCAAAAACTAATCTGTACGTCTCCTTATCAATACGAATCGAATGTTTTTTTTGAATTATTCAAATCGGTTGATCGGTGTTCCCGAAAACGTCGACTAAAATTTGTATCCGCACTCACACACACACATACATACATTTTTTAAAGATATGCCAAAATGTTCAGAAACCTCTAATACGTAAAGATATATAAAAAAAATCATTTTCGATTTTTTTGCGATTACTATAACTTACCCTACGGGAAGTTAAAAAGATTACTCATCTAGAAAGTGAAACTTTTTTTTGACAAAATGACGACTATTTCTCGAATTTTTATAAATGGTAAACAATGAAATTTGGATATGAGTTTGGAAGATTCTCTGAAAATTCCAATAAATCGGTCCAGTAGAACTAGACGGTTTTGAGAAAAACGAGTTTAATTTTTGCGAATGAAAAGAAGCAGAAAAGGAATATCGAGGAAAATTATACTCTCTAATACATGTTTAAATAGTTCAGCTTTGAAAATATGAAACAAAAAAATTTCTTCACTAGAATACCCTCTTAAAGAGAAATACCATTTTAAATTTTTAATTAATTCAAATACTCGACAATAATACAAAAATATTTCTCTAGCATAAGCATAATAAATGAAAATCCAAATTTGAAGAGCATCTTAAATTCTAACTGGCTCTTAAAAATGGCTTTGGTGCCGTTATTTAATAATAATCTTCTATTTCGTTTTCAAATGTACGCTGCATAGAGTCCTTAATATGAAAATTTTAATGCATTTTCTTGTGCAAAAAAAACATACTTTTAAGGTTGCTACAGTGGTGTCATCCTTCAAATCAAATTTTGCAAATTCATCAATGAATACTCTACTGAGACGAATTACTTAATTTGCAAAAAGGATATGTATCATGTATCAGGTTTCAAGAAGCTGATCGAATTAATATTATAGCATTGAAGGTAAATTATTAAATATTATATTTGATATTGCAGTTTAAATCTTAATAGCTAATTCAGAATTTATGTATATTCGAATCATAATTTACTTAAAATGAAAATTTTAAAACTACTACTTGGAATTTTTACCTGTCATATTCAGCATTGTCCTCATCACATCGCTCATCCTTGAGGTCTTTCCAGCTTTTTCCATGTCTGCAAGTCGTAACTAATACCATGTCATTTTCATTGTGCAAATGCCACAAAGAATTTCTTGTTTCACTACCTATTCCGTGAACATAACGTTTACCTTTGAATGCTAATAAGTATTTTTTATTTGCAGGAAAATTATTAGATTGAGCATTTCCAGGAGCACCTCCACGTTCTGGGTGTCCTCTATGAAACAATGGTAAAGATACATCAAAACCATGCCTAAAATGAGCTACAGACATGCTAGCCTGAGCCAGTAATGCATAACCAGGATCAAAACCAAGATCTCTTTCTGCATAATCTGGCCAGGATCCAGAATAAAGATTAAATATTAAATGATTTCGACCATTGTTCCAATAAGGTAGACGTGCCAATCTTCCGGGCATACCCCGAACAAAATCACTGGATAATTTATCACGATCTAAAGTATCTAATGCTAAAATAAATAAGCAAGCTCTTGAAGGATCTGGTGTGTAATAACGAGATTCCCTTATCACTGATAATACTTTCATATAGGACGAACTGATAGGGGTGCTTGCTTCATTGATATCTTGTTGAGGATAAACATAAACTCTAAATTCTCCTCTGCAACGACTAAAATCAAAGCAGGTCTCCATTCGACAAGGCCTCGACCCTGCTTGAGGACCCGGACCTGGTTCTAAAGGTTCCCATAGTTCGCTCACGCTCACAAATGAGGGCAGAGTCTCATAAGGAAGTGTTTTTGATATACTTTTCAATCGATAGCCGCCAAAGTAACAATACGCTAAAAAGGCGCACGATACTATAAGAAGCAAATACCGTTTCTTGGCCCGCATCATGCTTTTTCGTACATCATTTTTTCATTTATACTTAATCATTTATTACATTTATAATAGTAATTAATCGTTTATTCTTTTGTAGCACTTAGCGATCGTACGAGCTCTCACGGAGCTCAACCTGTCTTTATTTGTATACAACATGGTTTTGTTCTTAGTCGCGCTTAAACTATGTAGGAGCGACACTGGGGATATTATTTACACATGTTTGTTCACAAATCATTTTTTAATACTAAATGTATTTATACACAAAGAAGAACTGACATATTCTCTCCCATTCCGTCCCAGTTTGACATTCAACTGAAGTAAGGCGATAAGGTGTTAAACATGGGCAATCAACTCGACATAGACAATGAAAACTGTCTCGGCATAGATCTGCTGCTCCATAAGCACTTATTGTTAGTGCAGCCATAGATGCTTCGGAATTATTTTTTGCGCAGAATTCAAATCAATCTAGACAATATAATAATCATAGATAAAAAGAATAAAAGAAGTGTATATGATATAATATAAACAAGAGTATATGATAATCATATTCAAATTAAGAATTATAGATTAGTTAAGCACACAAAGTATATATATTCGATTAAGGGTATAACAATTCTATTTAATCATAGATAAGATGATATTCGATTAAGGGTATAACAATTCTATTTAATCATAGATAAGATATATATATTTTATAGAAAATATATATAGATATTACGGCATATGCATAACCCAATTATGTATATTATTCTATAGAATTATAGATTAGGAATACTATTCAAACTTTATTAATAAAGATGCATTACTTAGATTGATTCTAAGATTTATTTAAAAAGAAAGAAGTTTCTAAAATCTTCACAATCTGAAATATATATCATTTAATATATATCAAAAATTATATCATTTTATAATCTACGTTATGTATAATCACTTATTTATTAATCAAAAGATAAATATATACTGGCACTAACTTGCTTCTCTCTATTTTCTCAATTGCTGAAACATCTATAACTTTATACATAGTTTATTTAAATTTTAGCCAGTTAATACTAATAGGAAGAACACATGGTAAATTATTTATAAAATTTTTATTGATCTAGTGACAAACATTAATTATTAAGAAATCGATTAATAAAACTAAAAAATGATCTAAATACAAACAAATAAATTATACATAATTTTATATAAATCATTAATAGCATTGATTATTAAATTTGATTTCTATATGAACCATCATTACAATTTGAATCAAAATTGTTAAAACAGTAATTTACTTGTGATTTGCATTTATATCATGAAAATATAGATCATAAACATCAAAACACATCAAATTTATATTTTTTTCGTAACACATTTGCAGACAGTATAAGTTTCAGTAAGGTACAAAATTTTACATTCATTTTTTTTTTAACACCGTTTATAATAGTCAAATTATAATCTATTGTTTATAATCTGATAACTACAACTAAGGGTAGTCAGATTATATATAACGATTAAATATGATAATTATCATATTTTATTTATTATATACGATGGATGCTATAGCATTCATGTCATTCCAAATGTATGCTATAGCATTCATGTCATTCTGCATCACAATGAAAATGAATGCTATAGCATTTACTTCCGCAAACGTGTTGAAAATAATAATATTTCAGTGTTATTTTTTGATTAATAAAATTTCAGATTATTTTAATTTTTACATCAATTACTTTTGAAATTATTTTAATTTATATCTATAGTTTTTTTGTTTTTTTTTTTAATTTTTTTTTCTGCTACATTTACTTAAATATATTGTATTTAAACATAGATGAAATTAAATCCTATTAATATTTTTGTTTTCTTCATGAAATATTAGAAGTCTATTTATGGATAATATTGATATATCTATACTAATTATTTATATCTAAATAATGAATTTAAAATTGAATAAGTATTTAATTGTTAATCAAATATATTTAGTCGACAAACTTATTATAATAAAGCATAAGTAAATTCTTTCTCAATTATATTCTATAAGTTTTAAATAAATTTGTTGATTGATTTATTTCATATTTGTACTTCAATTCACCATATAAGAGTAAAATTTTTCTAATTCCAGATTTGAAATTTTCTCAATTGCAGAGATTGTTGATATTTAACCAAATCTCAACTAATATATGGATATATATTTTTTGAATATATTAGTATATTTTATAATATTTTAATATAATAAAGATAATTTACTATATTTTCATTAAATTGCACATTAATTATTAATCACCATGCAAAAATTCCATGTGCACTAATAATAGAAGTTATTAAGTGTAAACATTAATAGCAGGGTATTAAAGATGCACTTATTAAATCCACAATTCACTTATAAAACTAATATTGATTGCATAAAATTAAAAAAATTGCATTAAAACTATTATTAGTCTTACAAAACCTTATAACCCACAAATATTTTTGGGTATGTATTACAATGTTTAATAATTCAAACAAAGATCTAACATAACTTGAAAAACACTAAAGCAAATCTACTATTATTAAAATATTTACCCAACTCTTAAAAAGTGGTAAACTTCAGCTTAAAATTTAGTTACATTTAGCAAAATTAAGAGATCGTGGCTGCAGTGCTGATTTTCGGAGATACTGATGTGCCATTCTCGTTAGTTCCAATTGGTCATCAGTTTGACCACAAGCTACCATTTGCCAGCGTGGATCCAGCTATATTAAAATTAATTAGAATTAATTGTAAGCTTCACAAAGATTATATATATATATATATATAAATAAATTAAACCTGCAAACAAAAAGTTCAATGTTATTCATCTCTCATCATATGCCACCAGTTTGGTCACCAGTCTCTATTATTTACCTTTTAAACTTAATAAGGTTCTCCGCCAACCTTTGTCAATAGATTTGGTACTTATTTTCTGATACAAATCCCTCACATAATGTGCAATTATAGATGTGCAATTATAGATGTGCAATTAGTGAAACAATATTATCCATAAATTTGTGAAGTAGTACGTTGGTACAAATACACACAAAAAAAAGACAAACCAAAACCAACAATAAACAAAACATGAATAACATATATATTTGATGTGCACACATATCAGTATTTAAATAATTCATGAGTTTAAAGACATATGAGATAATTTTTCACTTTCATAACTCATATTACATTACATTTGAAAAGAACATTTATTTTATAGCTGATGTGATGTGGCATACTGATTCACAAAAAAAAAGATCATTGAAAAGAAAATTTATGGACAAAATAACAATGATAACTAATTTTAGGTATTTATTATCCAAAATAGGTTTCCAAAACAAATATCAAATAATAATAATTAAAATAATGTCGCTTCAGAAAAATGAATTATATTAAATTAGACAAATGTGTAAAAACCCAAAATAAAAAACAATCTCATATTATAACAAATACATAACTTATTCCTCAGTAATAAAGACGGACAGAAATGATTTTCATCAAAACCTATGAATTATAAAATCGGTTGTATGTTTGCAAGGTGGTATGGTTTTACCTTAATGTTATCATTGAAGATAATATTTCGCCCTCCAGTCACCTCTGGTGGTTCAAAACGAATGCATCGTACAGCTGAACTTGTTGAAATAGGTGCACGTCGACTGACAGGCTACACGATTTAAATGTGCAAAACACAACATTGAACAAAAAATAAAAGAAAGCCAATCAACACAAAGCAGAAATTAATTCAGACATGCAGTTTAGAAAAGGCCATGCAAATCTAATAAATTAAAATTAGTTTTATTCCGCAATATTCTTATCAAATACTTATTCTTGATGTGATAGCAATTTAACAAATTGGAATGAAGGAAAGTAAGGATTGTTAGTTTTATAACTGAAATCTTATAGATTTAAATGTTTCGAAAAAAAAAATGCATTAGAGAATTAATTGTGAAATTTTTTAGTATGCTTAATTGAATGATATTTAAATGAACACTAGCAATTGTTAATTAAGTTTACTGAAAATCTTTTTCATATCAAAAATGATATTGTGACTTGAAAACTTTAGAGTATAATATTTAAAAATAATTTTCTGTAAGCGTATTGCACACTATTAATACTAAATCAAACAAATAGAATGTAAGTATGTATAATTAATTCACAAAACGTTATTTTAATTTGGCCAATGAAAATAAATGAAAATTCACGAATCAAAAAATAAAAAGGAAAAGGATATGAGTGAAACATCAATGATTTTGGTGACAAATGTTAGACATGAAACAATGGGAACAAAACAAAAAGTAATATAAGTGTTAAAACAATTAATACAAATTATTTTGAAATAAAGAAAAACATCCCATTACATTAAGTTATATAAATCATTTTTAATTGTCTAATTTAATTTTTAGCACCAAAATCTGATGACATTTCATTAAAATTAAATAAAATAATAAAATATGATCAAAGACATTTATTAATTAAGTCAATAAAAAATTGAAAAATTTACAAGTACAAAAACCAGAATAATTTTAAGAAAATATTCTCAAACTTAGCAATTATTACATTATATTAAACAACCTAATATAATCATATGAAATACTAACATTTTATATGTATTATTAAAATATATCTCAGATATAAAAACAGAATTAGGATATAAATCAAAAGATATAAAGATTGTAGAAAGCAACGTACAAATATCTTAATAAACAAAAATATATTAAATCCAAGCACATGGCAAAATATTCTTGGTATTGAATTTAATTAATTCAAACATTATCAGAGACAAGGTGCAAAAAGTTAAAAAATTAAATTGTAAAATTAAACTCCTCCATGTAATGTTAGTGTAAAGTTACTGCATAATTGTACTTCTTACATATCAAGCGTTTTATTTTCAATTAACAGCAAAAAATCTATTTTTGCTAGTTATTTTAATATTACTATAAAATAAATAAATACAATAATTTTAATATTAAATAGTATGATTGTTATGAAATAAAGTTCATCAAATATAAAACAAACATCTTAAATAAAATAATATGGACAAAATGGGATGTTTTTTCTATAAAATAAATTAATAACCATAAACAAAATAAATTCTTTAAATTAAATAATGACAAGAAATTTTATATTATTAATAGCATAATAAATATATAATATATAAGTAAATAAATTTTAATGCTTAAATAAAGCATCTTCATAATATAATTTCATCACATTCAATATATTTTGTGATAAATGTCTCTGCACTAATTTAATATCTTACTTGATGTGATAAGAGTTATAATTTTAGGCTATAACTTTTAATAGTTTTAAATAATTCATATTTTAAATAGGAAATAAATGACCTCTAACTCAAAAATTATCTCCTGGAAATAATATTTAGGTCAAATAAAAGTAAGTCACGCCATTTTATTTATTTTGTATGTAAATATTTCATTGAGGATATTCGTCTGATAACAAAATAAAATTTTATAGTTGATAGCCCGCAATGCACGCAATTCACAATTTAATAAACAAAAAAGTTTAACCCAACAGAATATGGCAGAAAAATATCAATAGTTAGTAACATGAAAATTTATTAGACGTTTAATAATCTAGCCAAAAAAAATTGGTATTATCATGCAAAGATTCAGTCAAATCATTTGAATTATCTCCAGAATTTAATTTTGAGAAGGACAGCAATTTCTGTTTATTAATTGTAGAATTACCATTATCATCAACATTTTGAATATTACTTGAATCTTTAAGTGCTCCATTTTGTAATTGAAGAGCATTTCTAACAGACGTTATGTTTTCAGGCTTCAAACTTTTTAAAGAAATTTTAGTGAAACATCCGCATTATTTCGTTTTAAAGCAATCAGCTAGGTTTATTCTTGTGCTATTTGCATCATCACAAAGTACTTCACAGAAGATACTTGGTTTTGTTTTTCGGGATTTAATATTTTTTAGTTGTTGAATTAAAAACATTTTTTGTTGATGCAAATGATTGTTAATAGATTGATTGATAGATTTGGGTAAAACAAAATCATCAAAACCATGCTTCAAATTCTTGTTGGCTTTAATGGTAATTGGCATATTGAAATGAGATGAATTTTTAGAGTTGTCAGGAAGCTTATCCGAGAAAATTCTGGTGTATTTAAAATATTTGGCGATTTATGCTAGTATTGGTAATACCTGTGAATTCTGCGGTGTTGATGTCGAAGAACCAAGATTTTTCAATGGTGTGTGAAGTATGGGTGAGTCATAAGAATTCAAATGATGTATCCAAAGAATCTTTTCCAAGTCCTATGGCTGGTGACAACAGAAGGCAACCTTCCAATCCTTTGCTCTGCAAAATTAAAACTCAAGGATTAGATATAAATATTAATTACTGTATTATTTATGTGAAAAAATTCAAATATTCTGTGCAAAAGTAATGTCTTTTATAATTATAAAGAAACAAAATATTACTTTGAAATAAACAATTCTGAAAGTTGAATATCGAGTTCAGCTTTGTTGATTTATATATCTCAATCTAGTTTGTTTCTTATATCCTTATTAAATTTTATCTTTGTCAGAATTCTTTTGGCATATCTTGATTTGAATTTTATAAAATATAAATTTTTGATTATGTGTTTTCTTATAAATAAAACTTAAGTTATGAACTGAACATAACATTGATACAAAAACTTTATCATTCTAATTTATAAAAATGTTTACTATGCTTACAGGTGTTTCAACAAATGACACTTCATTAGCCAAGCACTTCCTAAACTTTTACGAACACGTTTTCCAGTACTTAATGGTTGCTCGTTTCCTTTCCTATTAATTTACGTTTTCCTGCAATCATACTTCCCATACCACTATCCTGTAAAGAAATCATTTTTGTCATTCAATATTACATCATCACAATTATAATTCATTATTTATTCACTATCACCTGTCCATTAGTTTGAGTAACCTCAGAGTTACATCAGAACTATTTCTATTTGATTCATTTCCTTCAGACTTTTCTGCTCTTGTTCTTGCTGCATTATTTCTGAAATATCTTATTCAATCGACTTGGACTTTCTGATGGAACGTACCTGACTCCACTTTGTTTTTCTAATTCAGCCAAGGCATTTTTAAATGGTGTTGGTGTCCTGTTTTAAAAATAGCGAATAAAAAAAAAATTAGTATGAAAAATGTTAGAATTAATTTTTGTTGAAGTTTTATCATGTAAAACATACCTTGGCGAATATTTGATAAAAGTTTGCGACTTCTGATTGGAGTAATGCTTTCTGAATCATCAACTGTTGAAGACCCATTTTCATATCTTGAGGTACTGGTGTGTACTCAAAGGACTCTCTGCATCGGGCTCACTTTTCTAAAATAAATCCGAAATAATATTTTATAAATAAATAATTATAACATAGATTTAAATAATAAATATGGTATAAAACCCATACTCACAATTCCTTTCAATGGTGTTGATTTTCTAATAGGAGTCAAGTTTGTAATACCCAAGTCAAAAAGACAAATTAGGACTTTTCAAAAGTTGAGATGGGCTGAAATGTAACTGTGTCATAGTAGACTTTCCTGGGTTTTGAAGGCTATAAAAAAATTATCAGGATCAGATATTATCAATTATCAGAGCTGAAAAAATAAATATACTCTAAAAAAATATGCAAGAAAAAGTTTAACATACAGTGTTGGATGTGATATTGCCCTCGCTTTGGAATTCACTGGACATATTTCCAGAATCTCTGCGGAAACCGGTGATGATTGGTTTTATTGCGCCTTAAGATTGGCGGAGGAGATCTCACATGTTTATCACTACTATTGAGAGCCACCTGATCCATTGCTCTTAGTACTGCAGATAAACGATTGTTATTCAAATGATGTGATGATTTTCTCACAGGGGAGTCTAAGAAGCTTAATTCTGCAATTCCTTCATCATTAAGTGACACTAGCTTGACAGGACTGCCATTAGATAATATTTCCATGCTATCTAAAAACCTGCAAATAAAAGAAAACATGCCTTTCATTTATTTTTACTGTAGGAGACATTATTGAAACTGTCTATTCAAAACCAATATATAAAATTATGAGAAAATAAATATTAAAAATATCAATAACATCTTTCATAAATTGTAAGAAAAAAAAATCATTTATCATTAGTACTTTGTTTCACAATGAAAATGTTTTAAATACGATAACATATGAATAATTACCTGTAAGGTGATCCATTAATACCACGTCTACCTTGGCGAATTGGTGAAATAAATCTGGGTTCATCCATTCTTGAGCTAGTTTGCGAATTAAAGGTTGAAAATATAGGACCAACAGAACTTCCACTTGCTGTTGATTGATTGCTGCCATGATCATACTGGTCAGCCCAATCATCCTTAATAACATTATAATTATTAATGAATACAAAGATAAATTAATTTATTGTTTTTTGATTATTAATTGTATATACTCACTTCGTATCTAAGAGAAGCTGATTTTAAGTACGATGGAGATGGGCCATGATCACGCCTTTAAAATATGTGGATCATATGATGAGATCGACCAGTTGAACAAACACCTACCAAACGTCCAGATAAAGATCCTGTATAGAAAAAAGAAGCAATTAATATTAAAATATATAAAAAAAATACAAAAGAACTTACCAAGCGTGGCTCGAGTTTTTAATCTGCGGTCAGCAACACGTTCATCATTTTCATATTTTCGACGCATTGTAGAATTCCAATGATTTTTTATAGCATTGTCAGTTCTGCAAATATTATAATACGTATTTCCCATTCAAGTATTAATAATAAATTTTACTGTGCAATAATTATACCTCCCAGGAAGAAGCTTGGCAATTTAGCCCATTGGGTTTCCCCATTGTCTGTGAGCATCATATATAATTCTGTCTTCAGCTTCTGTCCAGGCTGTTTTCTTAATATTGGGATTAAGATGGTTGTGCCATCTTTCGCGGCATTGCTTTCCAATGCGACCCTTTAGGTGGCGAGCTATTAAAGTCCATTTTTTTGGACCATGACGCTCCACCAGTTCAACTACTTTCTCATCCTCCTAATAACCAAATAATTTAAAAACAAATAAATAAAATATAAATCAATGATAATTAATGTTAATCAAATGATAAATAACCTCCTTTGTCCATGGGCCCTTGACCAGTTCTGGATTTACAACTTTGGTCCATCTCTGTTGACATTGGACATCTGAGCGATCTCGAAAATGACGAGCAATGCTCTCCCATTTTTCTCCTTGCTCTTCAACCAAGCGTTTCAATCGAGCATCCTAAAATAAAAATATATGAAATGAAATATTATGTTGATAAACATAGCATATCAACGTTCATATATTTATCCTGTATTTGGTAAAAAATTATATGTTTTGAATGTAATATATTTATAAAAATCAAAACTGCATCAGTTTTAATAAAAAATAATATGAAGAAAGTAGGCTAATTACTTGATATAAATATTTAAAAAAACTTACCTCTCTTCGCCCACGGCTTTATTGATGTATTTTCTATTAATACCTATTGAATCGTCCTCGGTGACATCTCCGCTGCTTTCGCTCTCGTATATGCCGCGAGATCTGAGATAAAATTAATTATTTTAACAAGATTCTCTGAAACTATAAAAAAGTCAATATGAATATGAAATAATATTCGATCGGATCTGACAATGACAAAGTATGTAATGACTCAACGACTTCAAAATACGAATAAAATAATGTTGGAGGTAAACCACTTGCAGACACCTAAATGAAAGCCATTCGCTCTAATTTTGATACGTTTTGTTTCAAATTTCAAACTTACCGATTTATAAAAGTGCCGAGATAATATGAATATACTGCTTAAGGAAAAAACTGGAATGTAACATCCACAATCGTTTGCAAGGAAATGCTAAATCCATTATGTGAATCACTCGTACGTAAAAACAAT